TTGGGGGATTTTAGGGGGAATTTGGGGCTAAAATGGGGAAAATTGGGAAATATTTGCGGAAATTTGGGGGGAATTTGGGACAAAAAAGGGGAAAAATGAGGAAAAAATGGGGAAATTTGGGAGAAGTGGGGGGGAAAGGAGAAAAATGGGGGAAAAAAACACGGGGAAAAAATGCAAAAAATTGGGGAAAAAGTCCCGGTTTTCCGGAGGATCCCGGGGATCCAGTGGATCAGCCGCTGACCGGGGACTACGAGGTGCCCAGGGAAGAAAAATGGGGAAAAATGGGAGAAAAAATGGGGAAAATGGAGAAAAACAGGGGAAAAAAGGGCGGGGGGAGGGGGGGAGTGGAGAAAAACAAGGAAAAATTGGGGAAAAACGGGAGAAAAACAGGGGGGAAATGGGGGGAAAATGGGATAAAAATGGGGGGAAGTGGGAGAAAAATTAGGAAAAAAGGGAGAAAAATGGGGGGAAAGGAGAAAATCAAGGGAAAATTGGGGGAAAATGGGAGAAAAATGGGCAAAAAATGGGGGGCAACTGGAGAAAAACAAGGAAAATTTGGGAGGGAAATGGGAGAAAAATGGGAGAAAATGGGGGGGAAATGGGATAAAAACTGAAAAAATGGGAGAAAATTGTGGGGGGAAAAATGGGGGAAATGGTGGAAAAATGTGAAAAATGGGAGAAAAGTGGGAGAAAAATGGGGGAAAAATGGGGGAAAATGGGAGAAAAATAAGAAAAAAATTGGCAAAAAATGGAGAAAATCAGGCAAAAAACGCGGGGAAAAAATGCAGAAAATCGGGGAAAAAGTCCCGGTGTTGCGGCTGATCCGGTTTTCCCGGCGGATCCCGGGGATCCAGTGGATCAGCCGCTGACCGGGGACTACGAGGTGTCGGTGGGCGCGGCCGGGGGCCCCGGCTCCTCGCGGGTGATCTCGGCGCCGGATCTCGGCCACTTCCTGCTGCGCTGCCTGCGCGACGCCGAGTTCGACGGCAAGAGCGTCTACGTCAGCCGCCACTACGCCAAGGAGTAGGGATCCGGCGGGAGGGATCCGCTGGGATCCGCTGGGATCCGCTGGGATTGGGGACAAGATCTGGTGGGGTCTGGTGGGATATGAGAAGGTCTGATGGGGTCTGGGGCTGGGATCTGCTGTGGCCTGGTGGGGTCTGATGGGATCTGGTGGGATCTGGTGGGATTTGGAGCCAGAATCTGGTGGGGTCTGATGGGATCTGGTGGGATCTGGTGGGGTCTCATGGAGTCTGTTGGGATCTGATGGGATTTGGGGCCAGGATCTGGTGGGATCTGAGCCCAGCATCCAACGGGATCCGCTGGGGTCCAACGGGAACTGGTGGGATCTGGGGCCGGGATCTCATGGGATCCGGTGGGAACCTGATGGCATCTGGTGGGATTTGGCCTGAGTAGATGATGGGATCTGGTGGGATATCATGGGATCTGGTGGGATTTGGGGCCGGGATCTGATGGGATCTGGTGGGATCTGGTGGGATTTGGGGCGGGTTGGAGCCAGAATCTGGTGGGGGCTGGTGGGGTCTGGT